AAAACTTCCTCCACAGGCAAACCTGCAGATTTATGAGTGGTAAGTGTTAGAGGAACACAATTACGATCAACAAATTTTACGCCTATCAGGAACACAACTAAACATCCATGTCACTAATATCACCTGCATCATGTAAACATTACTAAAAAAATTCTTAAAAGCAACATGCACTAAGCTAATAAGTTTGCACCATAGAACGCTATAAAAAAATAAAAAGGGGCGGCCCGGTGCTCTAAGCTCGCGCTATGCGCGGGGTCCAGGGAAGGGCTAACCACAAGGGTCTATTGTATGCAGCCTTACCTGCATTTCTGCAAGAGGCTATTTCCCCAACTCAAACCATTGACATGCTGGTCAAATGCCAGCAACTTTACCAGTTACGTCAAGGCTCCCCTTCAGAACATTATAAAAATTATAGAACACTATAAAAAATTAAAAATTAAAAATAGCATAAGATGAAGGAATTATAATGATGAATGAATTATACAAATAATGATATTAAGAATATACTATATAATAATTATCCTTTTCCTATTTTCACCTCTAACTCAAAACAAATTGCATTTGAATAGAGTAGCCAATGATTTTAAACACAATAGTTTAATCAAATTAGAAAAAAAAAAAGAGACTTGCTCAGTTATTAAAGTCCCTAAAACTGAACGTCAGATCATTCTTCCATTTTCTACGAAATTGTTAACCTGTATCATCATAACAGCAGAAACAAAACAAAAACAACAGAAAAACTAAGTTGGAGCCTTCGAGGATAAGACATGCAGCTCATTAAAAAAGGTAGTTCCACCAGGGAACTCTCGAACGCAGATTAGATCAATCACCTTTGTAGCTGAGAAACTTGTTTTTTGACAGCGTAACATAGTTTGGGACTAACTGTCACAAATAGCTGGCGCAAGGTTGTCCTGCTAGTCTCTCCAATACAGCGACTCGCTTCATTATCCTCGTATGAGCTAATTCTTGTTTCCCCTGCAAATTGACTTACCTCCTTTCCTGCCGCTACATTAAATCCTTGAACAGAACTATGGTGTTGTTGCTCCTTTTGGAACAACTTCATTGTCAACACAGTAGTTTTACCTGTGCCTGAGCGGCCAAGGATGAAACTGCTTTTACTAAAACGGATTACCTCCCTCTCTTCATTAGTAACTTCAAAAGGGATATCTACTTCTTCACCATGGTGATCGGAGAGCAAATGCGTGACAACACCAGATGACAGGGAGTAAAACTTCATTAACAATAGGCTTTCGCTCACTCTTGAATTTTCAACATAACCATTGTTATCGAGTGTACTAGTCGAATCGTGATTCAATTTGCTCTCGACATCCTTTTTATACTGAACTACATCACGATGAACCTTCCAACTCTTTGGAACTTCCAGATCCCTAAACAGAAGATGAAAAGTTAAAATTAAAGAAATTTTTAGAAAGACAATTCAGTCTATCATAATATCGAGCACAATGGAGCGTAAAAGAGCTAGTTTACCCCTCAAAATACTTCTCCTTACAGAGGCTGATGAATTCATCGGTGTACATTAAATATATTCTATCAAGACGTCTTAAGAAACCCGCAACCTCCTCCAAAGGCAATAAATCCCAAACCTTTAGAACTTGCGTATAAAAGAACTCTTTTTGAATTTCAACTGTACAAACAACATAACGCCCTTCAACCACCTTGAACTGCTTAACCACCTGAGATGAGCTTTCACAAACTAACTCTACATTCCTTCTCTTCGGCCGCCATCCACTAGCAAGCTTAACCAGAAGAGTTAACACATACTTTCTCAAGCAGGAGGATGCCAGCTTTCGAAATGATTTTCTAAAGTTGTCGCTGAAAACGACCTGAAGAACCAGATAGAAGACAATACAGCTGAGGACCAAGTAAAAGGATTGATACAGGACTGTTTTAGAACACCACAAAAAACAAAACAAAAAACAGTAGTTGCGGGTGAATAATGATACTGACCAAAGTTATTTACACAATGAACGACGCCCACGTAAAGAATGAATAAATATTTAAAACAGAATAACAAATGTTTCAAACTATAACCAATGTAAGTTAGAACATACACCAACAGTTTGGTGAGTGAAGCTATAATGATAATGGAATGCTAATTGCTTCTACTAATGTCTAGAGATGAACCATAAGAAAGGCCACATAAATATATGAACTGTAAAAGATACATATTTCCGCGAACAAACAATCAGTAAAAGGAGGCAAGATATTTATTCCTAATGAAACATTGAATCTTCAAAGGGTTTCTTCTTTTGATAAGGTAAGATATTTTCATTAAATAACATACCAAGGAGGTAAGACAAAACTATGTTGCTCGGATACTCCAAAAATGTTGTCACACCCGTGTCGAATCCTCCAAAAATGCAGTACTTTGGAGGATCTGACATTCACCTGGTGACATTTTTGAAGAATCTGAGCAACATAGCTACAAAATACAAAAAGATATCAGCAGTTGCATTGTTACATCGTTTGGCCGTATCTTCCAAAAGAACAAAAAAATAATCCGTCCCCTTTTATGTAACTATTCTTACACCAATAATATAAACAATATAATCCAACAATTAACTACTTTCACGCTTCACTGAATTTCAGATACAACTTTACTCATGTATCCTAGAAGAAGCATATATCCTTTCTAACTGTAATGACCCAACCGGTCATTTTGACTTTTAGAACCCCGTTCCACTAAATAAAACTCCCCGTATGTCTTTTTATAAATTTATGACTTGCGGGGATGGTTGGTTCGGGATTTGGAAGTGTTCGGGTTGAAATCGGAATACTTGATTCCTTAAGTTGGCCTTAAAATGCTAAGTTTGACTTCGGTCAACATTTTGAGGAAACGACCCCGGAATAGAATTTTGATAATTCCAACAGCTCCGTATGGTGATTTTGGACTTAGGAACGTGTTCGAAATTTTATTTGGAAGTCCGTAGTTAAATTAGGCTTGAAATGGCTAAAATAAGAATTTAAGTTTGGAAGTTTGACCGGGGAGTTGACTTTTTGTTATCGAGGTCGTAATCCAGTTCCGAAAATTATCATAGCTCCGTTATGTCATTTATGACTTGCGTGCAAAATTTGAGGTCAATCGGACTTGATTTGATAGGCTTGAATCTATGTGTGATTCGTGTTTTTAGTGTTGTTGGATGTAATTTGAGGACTCGACTAAGTTCGTATGATGTATTAGGACTTGTTGGTATATTTGGTTGAGGTCCTGAGGGGCTCGGGTGAGTTTCGGATACTTAACGGATCATTTTGGACTTGGCTTGATAGCTGAAGTTCTGGTTCTGCAGGTTCTCGTTTCCTTCTACGCGATCGCGTGGCATTGTTTGCGATCGCGTAAGGTTAACTGAGGGCTGCTGAGTTTTGTGCTTCGCGATCGCGTGGCTTTGATATTTTGTGACTCGCGAACGCGTGAAGAAGGTCGCGTTCGCGTAGAGTAACGGAGCAGGAGCTGGGCCACGCGCTTGATGCTTTGCGGTCGCGTGAGAAGGTTCGCGATCACGTAGGTTTGCGGAGTCAGTGCTTCACGATCGCGTGGGACTTTCCGCGATCGGGTAGGGTTATTTTCTGGGCAGTAAAAATTTGTGCTACGCGATCGCGTGAGGAAGTTCGCGATCGCGTAGAAGAAATCACTGGGCTAAGAGTTTAAGTTTTAACGATTTGGAGCTCGAATTGAGGCGATATTTGGGAGATTTTCATAGAAAATATCGGGGTAAGTGTTCTTAACTCAATTTTGGTTAGATTACCCAAATCCATCACTGTTTTTCTCAGTTAATTGGTGATTTAAGTTGGAAAATTTTGAAAACCCTCTTGGATAGATTTGAGGATTTGAGGGTCGAATTGTTATTGGAATTTAGTCATTTTGGTATGGTTAGACTTGTGGTTGAATAGGCGTTCATATTTCGTAACTTTCGTCGTATTCCGAGACGTGGGCTCCACGGGCAATTTTTGAGTTAATTTCGGATTTTATTGGAAAATGTAGTATTTTCTTATGGAATTGATTTTATAAATTTTGTTGACTGTATCGAATTAATTATGACTAGATACGAGTCGATCGGAGTCGAAAAATCGAGGAAAAGGCATACTACGTGATTAAATTGGAGCAAGTCGAAGTAAGTGACTTTTCTAACCTTGTGTGAGGGAAATTTCCCCTAGAATTGATATTAATGTGATTGTTGAAACGTGTTGAAAGTCGTGTACACGAGGTGACGAGTGTGTACACGGGCTAAATGTGAAAGATTATGTTTTAAAATTGTGTACATCACTGTTGCATTTTTAATTAAATTATTAAACCTTGTTATATTCTTCATTATTGATTTAAATGTTTATGTTTTAAGTTTGCTTGACCTTTTCCTGCTAATTGTTTTACCTGTTTAATTGAAACTTGGTTTCTTTTATTCTGTGCATTATTTGAAGGTTGTTTTTCTTTAAATTAAATATTATTAATATGAGTTATTGGATATTTTAAATTTGGTATTGAAGCAACGTATTAAAATTTTGAAATATTATTTTGTTGAGTTATTTATTCCCGAATAATTTTTTGGTGAGATCTTTGTACTTATTGTGATAGAGCCGTGAGCTCCTTATTGTGGAAGAATATTATTGTTGAATTATTTTGGCATGAACCGTGAGCTCTTTATTATGAAAAAATATTGTTGTTGATTTATTTTGGCAATTTGGGCACTTGAGATGCAAATTGTGATATATTGTGATATTGATACGCATGCGATGGTATAAGGTTTGGGTGCTGAAACGCATGCGGTGAGATAAGGGGGCTTGATACGCGTGGCTAATAGGGAAACTACTAGAAGTCATGCGGTGTGATAAGGATGGCTAAAACACGGGATGCTATTTCGAGAAAAATATTTTCTGTAAAATAAATTGTGAGGGCTCCCGCGGTGAGATAAGGAAATAAGATATTGTGAATTTATTTATGATTTGGGACTACGAGGCGGTACCTCAGAAGTGCCCTTGTTGATATTGATTTATGGGCGCAGTTGCCTTTGATTATTGTTGTGATTTTCTTAAAGTTGAAAAGAATTCTATTTTGTTTTCACGAGGTATTAATTTCCATTATTTGGTGTAATTAAATGGTGACATACTACTTGACTCATTTTCATTGTCATTTTATCTTATTATATTTATAAACATTTTACCATGCTATTATTTATTTTCCAGTAGGGCATGACCTGACCTCGTCACTACTTTACCGAGGTTACGCTTGGCACTTACTGGGTACCGTTGTGGTGTACTCGTACTACGCTTCTGCACATTTTTTTGTGCAGATTCAGGTACATCTTATCAGACCAGGCACCAGTAAACTAGTTGTACGAGGAGACTTCGAGGTATATCTGCCAGTCCGCAGACTCCGGAGTCCCCTTCTATCTTACTATGCTGTTTTCCTTATTTGCTTTAGATTCTGATGTATAGAGACAGAGAGAATAAATTCTTAGAAGTTTGTGACTTATCTCTACCGGGTTTTGGGAGTTGTAATTAAGTAAATTTCAAATTTATTTATTTCATATTTCTATTATTATTCCGCATTGATAGACTTACCTAGTCTTAGAGACTAGGTGCCACCACGACATCTTACGGAGGGAATTTGGGGTCGCAACACTAACGAATAAGGCCCGTGCGAACAATCAATGGGGTTCAATATACAAGAAAATAACTAAGATAACAGACAAAACGAGCTTCAAAGCCCAAAGATTCGAGTGCATGTAACATTCACAATGTCATGAATTCATTATAAAATGATCCTTCTGTAATTCTTTCAATTCCATGTCTATCCAATCTCATATCATATTCAATTACACAAAGCTGTATTCAGAAAAAGTTATGTAAAACACCAAAATATGACTTTCTCCATTTATCTATGTAACAAAAGCAAACAACAGCAGCAAAAAACCTAGTGAAATCCCACAAGTGGGGTCTGGGGAGGGTAATGTGTACGTAGACCCTACCCTATGAAGGTAGAGAGGTTGTTTATCACAGACCCTCGACTCAAGAACAGTGAAAAGGAAACAATGTAACAAATGCAAGAGATTAAATGTGTGTACCTTCCATCTCTGTTCTTTGAATAGAATATTATCCCCATTTAGTAAATCATCCAGTTGATCAAGTTCTTTCTTCACATCTAAAATTGTTTTCCTCATGTCAGTATCGTCATCTGCATGAAAGAAGCATTGACGATCCTTGGCATCGAGAACTAGCGCTTCCCAAATGGAGTTGCTAGCAAGTAATGTTTGCTCATTTCCCAATATCCAGAGACAATGCCTAGAAAGAAATGCATATCTTAGACATCATATTAGAACTAGAAAGATCCAATGGTGATGAAACGGAATATTAATTTGATCCATACCGAGCTCTGGTTAACGCGACATTAGTCCAATGAAGACTTGACAAGAAGCCAATGGACCCAGCGCGATTAGATCTCACTGTAGATATTATTACAATATCTTCTTCCCCTCCCCGAAATGCATCAATCACGTTCACTTTAACTTCAAAATGTGCGTTGTTATTATACTTCTGCCCAAGTCTATCTCGTATGGCTAAAACTTGAGAAGCATACGGTGCTATAACACCAATGCTGAGTTTCTTCTTGGAGGCACTCCAAGCTGCAAATTTAGTATCGGCCAAACATTAATTCAAGTGTTTGAAGACCTACTCATTGAGAGAGCGCAATAATAACAAGCAAGGAAACAACAAACCAAGCTATATATTTCAACTTGCCTAAGTTGGCTAGCGGAGATCCCGCAATCATTAGACAGACAAGCCCAAGAATAAGATCATTCGCATTTTTTGGAACACCACCATCACATCCTCATCCACAGATAAAAATTTCGATATTAGGCAATGCTTCCTTAAACGCAAGAGCAGTCGTCCGTTGGCATAATTTTAACAATATTAGTAGATGAAATCACATTAACAAGCAGATGTAGTATTAAAAACTAATTAATTAGTGTCGAGAAAGATAAATTAAGAAGGTAAAAAGACGAGGGGAGCATTCATGAAAAACTTAAACAAATGTTTTAAGTTTTCATCAATATAATTATACCTTTGAACAAGCTCTCCAGTAATCGCAGTACCAAAGCAACCTCAACTAAGTTTCGCCTGTATCCAACATTATCCAGCTCTTCTTCTCCCCACGGTACATTTATAAAGGAATACGGGCCAAAACACTGTCCCGTAAGATATATTTTCTCATAGGCTTTACGCGTTACATCAGGCGCATCAAGGATTTTCTTACGATAGAAAATTGAATTTGGGAACTGGCTTATTGACGGATGCATTCTGTACTGTACGTTAAGCAGGTGATTTGCATGACCAAACGAGACGAGTCTTTCGAATAAGCTCCTTCCAAATCTAGCTACACGAGAAATCTAGAATGGAGTAATAAAATAAACCTCTATTAATAAAAATGTGGTAAAAGTACTATCAATTGAAGTTCCTATAAATTGCACGTAGAAAAGGTGTACGTACTCTACTCTTCAATGTTGCAGACAATTGGCACTCGTCTCCGGACAGAATCGCATTCCTCAAACCTCGAAGTTGAAGAGGTATTACTGCTTCACACTCCTTCAACTTGTCGGCATCATCAACAACCAATAAGTCAAATGGCTTCGTATCCACTGAATGTAGCTTATACGACGTAGAAGCATTGCAGAAAACCAAGGAAGCCATTTGGATACAGAACTCCGTTATACGACCCTTACTCGTTGCACTAGGAAAATCCCGAGAGATCGCTGAAGATCTTTCAGAAGGACAAGCAACCGGCTACAAGAACCGCGTAAAGATTTAGAAGACACTCCAAATGCTTGCTGAAATAGCATCCCCTCGAGAAAATCCAATAAGGAGATAATGTCCAACATTCTTTCAACGTTCTCTTCTCGAATAAAACATATTGGTAAATGGGTACAGATTATAAGCATGCATCTTCGGAGAGATGCAGCTGTCGAACTGAACCCTGCTCTGGCAAAATCAATCAATGAGCAATCCTCCAACAAACTGATCATAGAACTTACACAACCATTCCAGCCAGTTATTGGTTCAAAGCACTCCGACAGCCTGTCAACACGATAATTGGAGGAAATCTCCGCAATATCTTCACCATCTTCATAGTTGTTATTCCCAAACAAGAGAATTTCACCTAAAGGACAAAAGCCTTCAAATTCATTCTTAGATGACTCCCGGACCAGTTTAACCAACTTTGAAGCAACTTGGGCTGTTGCTACGTCCGTTGGAGCGCAAGTAACAGTTCTATACTTCATTTGCATCAGCGTAAAGAGCATTACACTTAGCGTCCGAGTCTTTCCTGTACCAGGCGGACCCGAAATAAGTTCAACGGAAGCCTTGTGGTGGCATTTCATAGTGGCAAGACATGTAAAGATTGCATTAGCCTGGGAATCGTTCAACTTGGACAACAGACTACCCACAACTTCTCCAACTGATAGCTCATTAGTGGATGCAGAACAAACATCGCATTTCTGTTTGATCCGTTTCTGCAAGAAGAAAAATATCAACAAAAGTTTATATCATTCTTTGGTTTCCATTTATCCAAAGATAAAGAGAGAAGAATAGAAGCATATAGTCCAAGAGAATGTGTTCTAATCCGTAAATTAACAAGGGACAAAGTGTTTTTAATGTCCACAGAATACATATTGGTGCATCAACATTGCAAGGTAATGATAAAAGAACATTCATAAAGCAAAAATACAACTTTGAAATCTCTCTCTCTCTCTCTCTCTCTCTCTCTCTCTCTCTCTCTCTCACACACACACACACACATATATATAATATATACACAACTAACACCAGTTTTTCTTTTAATTTTGGAAAGAATGCTAAGATAACTCTGTTAAAAACTTTACTTATCACAATTGAGAGACAAAACCGTCACACACTAACTTGAAACTAATCATACTGATCATTTCAGACCAAGATACCATTTTCAATTCAAAATCCACTTTATCATAGCAGCAACAAATCAAAAGGCTAAAGGGGGCATTGCTTTCATCGATATTCAAATACATATTATGAATAAGAGAGGGACCTCGAGATGAAGCTTCTAAAAGAAACTAAAAATAAGTAAATCACCAAGATTATTTACCTCGTGCACGGGGCGGAGGACTTCCTCAATTATATTCAAATTCTTTCTCATACTCAATGCATTCCATACGTTGTTATTAGGCATCACATTTACCAAAAACACTATATAGACTGCTCGTCGCATTACATTATGAGGAGGAAAGCTGACTTTAAAACTAGCTGATGCATCATTCTCATTCTCATTGACATCAGTAACATATGCAAACGTCCAATGGCATCCCGGTCGCTGCAAGTCATTAGTAGTTTCAGGTTTAACATTTGAGATAACAACAATATCTCCCGGCGACGTCCTATAACGCGTACCATCACTACATGTATTCCTCCAATAGTCAACCTTAACATCAAAAACCAATGATCCATTTGGATTTACTACATCAAAGGAGATCAACTCGGCGAAAGGTGATTCGTTTATGTCTTTTAAGGAAGCAGCAATATCTGCTCTTGTTTCTTCAAGTAAGGGGAAGAAAAAAGAACCAAGGTAATGCTCCACTGATCCAAATGATTGTGGAATCTTCTCCACCTAAACACCAACAAATTAAATTGAAAGTAAATTCACATGGTAACAAGAGCTAATGAATGAGACAATTACAAACATACTATTTACTAGGGGGCAAAAATTTACAACATTTTCAGGTTCTATCTTTAAAGTTGAAAAGCAAAGTAACCTTTTCTCAAACAGAAAAAGAGAACTTTTTGAAAGTTAAAAACTTACGCCTTGTTTGGATAGTTGTTACATGTCGTTTCATAATGTATTGGACTGTATTGTACTGCATTGTATTGTATTGTTTGATGAATATAATGTCTGGATAGATTTTATCATTTGCCGTCGTTTCATGATGTCAAACACCAACAATATGAAGAATAAACTTGTAAGATTACTAAGAAAAATTAGCATATGGAGTAGAATATTATGTAAAAAAAAATAGAGTAAAAGATAAAATATAATTATTTAATAATAAGAAAGGGCAAGATGAGAGAAAAAGTAAGGTAACGATGCCACTACACCAAATCCGTCGTTACATAAAAAGGCAATTTTTGTTGTTACGTCACGATGGATTTAACGATACGAAATAATAAAATTTAAGTAACAATCAAAACAAACATTGTATTTAAATTAACAATACGACACAATACAATAGGTAACGACCATCCAAAGTTATGCAAGGAATATAATGCATGGGATTACAATATTATGATTAATAATTCCTAGATTTTTTGTAATAGTGCCTTTTTAGATCATTGAATTGAAAATGAGATACACGGTGTATAATCCATAACACATGTTTGGTTTGAATTAACCTGAGTAAACATAGATTAATTTTTGTTTCCACTTTCAACCTTAGATATTTCAATGATGACAATGGAAAGAATCTTTGAAGGGATAATATTGTCATTTTGATAACTTTATCCCGGTATAGCTAATCTCGGTTTTATTATGAATGGCGTGGGATAAATGTGGATCGTTTGGTTTAGACATTGTTGTGCAGGGATTGTAGTATATGGATTAGTAATACATAGATTAATAATGTAAGGATATGATTGTAATGCATGACTTATTATACTTGTATTATTCCTTGTAAAAGAACATTGATGTTATTTTGGTTATTCTAGTTGTTTTTAATTCATGTATTACTAATACTTGCTTAAAACAATACATAAACTCCTGCATAGCTTATACAAATATTATTTATGCGAGCAATAGAAATGATAACCAAACGTCAGATTGGTAATGTTGAATGTAATGCCAGGTACCAAAGAGCAACCAAACGTTGTACTATTAATGCTATATTTTATGCAAGTTTTAGTAGAAATGACACCAGGTAGCCACTTTACAGGGTTGCTAACAAAAATGTCCTCAATTGTCCGGCAGTTAAGATTTTTTTGTTTAAAATTTCAAGACAAAATAAGTATTGGTTAATCTCTAAATAACATCCCTCGGAATGACTATCTATGCACTTGCCCCCAAGTTTTATCATGCCCCATGTATATGAAACCAAATGGCCCATGAATAAACTTAATCCTAAATTTTATACCGGGTTTAAAATCCTAAACCAAATAACCTAAAGGCCACTTAAAGAAAAATAATAATGAAAAAAGGAAAAGGAGATAGGCAAACAATTATATTCAGTTTTTGGTCATCTTAAATTGCATTTCATATTTCTAATCGTCTTTCTCTTTATTCAAATTGAATACACCTCTAGTTCCCTTTTAGATTACTGTTTATAAAAAGAAAACAAAAAAAAAGTGTACGAAATTACATATCCACCAACTTCGTAGTCTCACAATCACAAACAAAAAAAAAAGTACAGCATCAGTCGTGCAAAATTTTCATTTTGATAATTCCAAAATATTGCTATAAGGTTCGCCATTATTATACTTCTATAGAATACAAAAAAATGCAAAAAGACCTAATATACCACATGACTTGAAGTGGAAATAAATAAATAAATATAACTATGTATATAAGAGTTTTAAATTAATTATAGAATAAAATTTCTTTATATTGATTGTGTATAAAACTTAAACTCTACAAAAAAGAATTTATTACAAGCATTTTATTCTTCAAAGAGATAAACTCTTCCCGTGGTACTCAACTTATATACCAAACTAAAATAAGTAAACAAAAAGAAAGATGATAAAGCATTAAAAATGTACTTAATTACCTGATTTTCATATAAAGTCTCATCAAGAATATCTTTAACAGACCATTTGAAGATCAAATCAATGAATTCATCTTTAGGCCATTCTCTCTTCCTCTTCTCCATAGAAGAACTCCCTCCCATCCTAATAAGAAATCACTCAAATCTTCTCAAACAAACCTGAAACACACATTTAAAGAGAAAAATAAAACCCCACATGAATATTACTGTCAAAACTGCTACATGCAAACCATACACACAAAACAAAATAGCCCGATATATAAAGTATCATGTATTCATGCAACATCGGGAAGGACCGCAACTCAAGGAAGTGGCGTAGATAACCTACCCTATGCAATAATTAGTACAATGACGTACATAGGAATTTTCTTAAACGGCCTCAATATTTGAGGAAGTGAACAAATGAATAAATTACTTTAACGGTAATCAGTGTCATTTTTTATATTTAACTATATCTAACAGGAAAAAAACTCCACATGAATGTTAGTGTCAAAAGGTCAGCCTGACGTACAAAATGTGATATAGACAATCTATACTAACCAGTCTACTGGTTGCTTTTATAGCTCCAATCAGTGACATATAGTTTGCACGTAGATAACATACCGTTATTCCAAGGCTCCCGTTCGCGGACCGTACACATAGATCACTGAAAATAAAAGAAGCAAATTTCTTCGTCATGAATTGAAGCGGAAAAAAACAGAAATAACAATATAGGAGAAGAGAAATCAATCTCAAGAATATGTACCAGTAAAAATGACTATCAAAGAAGAGATATATACTCCAAAGGAATGATAAAACTTTCTTTTCTTTAGCTTTCTTTGTATACTTGGTACTCCAACTTAACTCTCTTGCTTTCTTAACAGCAAAGGAAAAGCAAACCACAGCAATCCTCCCTTTCTAAAAGCAAAAGGAAAAAAGGAACTAGTCTAGTCTAGAGTAAAAGGACACTAGTTCTTGGAATACGAAAGGGTCGGTCTTTTCATTTTCCTGTAGGTCTACTCCCTTTCTAAAAATAAAAAATTGTATTCCCTTAATCTCGTATTATCATTCGGTGTTACTAAAAATAGTTGTCTAAAATTATTTGTCATTTTAAATGTTCAAAATAAAGTTAATTTTTTTTTTTAATTTTACCCTTAGTAATAATTGTTCTTGTAGATGGAGATAACATATAAATAGAATAAATATTTAATAAAAAAATATTTTATTTTAAGACATAAATAAGGATAAAATAGTCTAATTATTTTTCTATTTAATATTTCTTAAGGGGTGTGTAAAAGATAAACATGACAAATAATTTAAAACAGAGAGAGTACTAATTTACTCTTTGTTCTCATTTATGTGATGCAATTTGAATTTTAAAATTTAAATAAGTTTTTCTATCGTAATTTCTTATATGACTTTTAAATGTTTAAAGTTGTTAATTATTAGGAGTATAATTTAAAATAGTTTCTTATATAATTTTTAAATATATAATTATTTTTTAAAAAATTAAAAAGATTTATATTCAAATTTACGGATAAAATTAAAAAATTTAACTTTTGAAATTCGAGTACACATAAATTAGGAGATAGCGTTTTGAGTAACTTGCGTCCACTTTTCTTTAACCATTTTCCACGATAATATTCGTTTGATATTTTAGGTTTTTCTTATCATAACTATTTTAACATTTGGTTTCAAAAATAGTATATTTGAGTTATGGTATGAAATCATTTAGAATAAGATGAATAGTGAAAATAACTTGCTCGTTCTTTAGGGTTTACGTATAATTAATTCACACACCCCAAGTGTTCTTTTAGAGTGCGACCCTTTTTCGAACTCTGCGTAAATACAAAATAAGGTGCACCAGGCTGCCCTCTAAATACCATTCAAGTACTCCTATTATTTACGACCACAGTTTATACATGTCGACCGTGGCATGTAAGAAGGATGGCCTCACTTGAGAGCCCGTTTGGACATAAGAAAAATTTTGCTTTTTTTTTGAAGCTTTTTACTTTTTTACGAAATGAATGTTTGGCCATAATTTTTAAATTTTCACTTGAAGATGGATTTTTGAATTTTTCAACAATTTGAAGAACTCCAAAAAGCTATATTTCAAAATTTTCACTCATATCATTCACAAAACTTCAAAAACAACCCAAAATTATATTCATATCCAAACACAACTCTAGTTTTCAAATACCATTTTCTCTTGAAAAACAAATTCACTTTTTTTCGGATTTTTACAATTCTTATGTCCAAACGCCCAATAAGTCTCACAAGCTAACTTTACCTGTATCTGTCCATCATATCATATGAAAAATACTTATTGCGTCTCACTTTTTGCGTTATACTTTTATTTTTAGCCACATAAAAAATAGCTTATAGCCACATAATTTTTTATGACTTGTTTAGACCCAATTTCGAATTACTTTTTTTTTTAAAACTTTGTTTCTAATCAAACACAACTTCATAAATTAGGACTGAACAACAAATAAAATTTTTCTTGTGTTAATTTATGTGATATACGTTTTCCTTATTAGTCTTTAAAAAAAATGAATGACAATTTTTTATATTTAAAAATAATTTAACTATAACTTTTTATTTTACGTACTTTATCATTAGAAACAATTTATAACCACATAAATTAAAAATCATATAAAAAATTTTAGCCTTTAAATTTTTAAGACCATAAATTTTATAAATCTTTCTTTTTTCTTAAGTTTTATGCTGAATTAAACTACATTTTATTTAAATAAAAAGGGAGAAAGTGAGTGGAACAAGGCTGCCATATGTAAACTGTTATGGAATTTAACTCAAAAAAATGACAAGTTATGGGTACAGTGGATTCATATTTACTATGGGAAAGGCAGAGATATAAGACATATTGAGCCCAAACAAGCTTCAGGACTGGTGAAAAAGATATTGAAGGCAAAGCAATACATGTTAGATGCTGGTGTTAACATGACAGAGATATTTGAGAAGGAGTACATAACCATCAATAGCATACACAAGCAGTTAAGAAGTGAACAACAGAAGATGCCTTGGAGGAAACTGGTATGCAATAATGGTGAAATGCCAAAATGGACTTTTATTCTATATTTGGCTATCCTAGGCAAGCTGAATACAAGAGACACACTAGCAAGATGGGGTGACTAATGAGCTATTGTGTCCTCTGTGCAATATAGAAGAGGAAAGCATTGAGCACCTATTTTTCAAATGCACTTTTGCAGCATCAATGTGGAGGAAACTACTGCAATGGATGGGTATCAATAGGCAAGCTATGAAGTGGTGTCATGAAGTAGAATGGGCATACAACAATGCAAAAGACAGATCAGCAAATGTGCTGAGATATACAGAATGGCTCTAGCGGGTTGTGTCTACTATGTGTGGCAGGAGAGAAACCACAAAATTTTCAGAGCTCAGCAAAAGCAAGCAGGGATAATGATAAAGCAAATTATACAAATGATACATGGAAGGGGCTATATGATGCCAAGACTAAGAAGAATGCTTGAAGAGTTAAACTTCTATCCATGAGCAAAATATGAAGTACTGGCAGTTCATACAATTGATACAAAATGGACTGATAGTCACTAGGTAGTATAGGGAGTTTTTTGGTGATACTAAGGCCTAGGAAGATGTCCAGACTTGGTAATTTTTGTTTGAGCCGTAACTTTCGCGCTTTGGTAATAAAATATGATAATTACCAAAAAAAAATTAAAAAAAATAAAAATAAAGGAGAAAATAGTAACATGAAGAAAGAAGTTACATCGATTCTAGCAAACAAAAAAAAAGAATCATAGTATCGAGCCTATGATCACAGGCTATACATAACGTGGCAGGTAACAATCATAGTATCGTTTTGGGTTAATACATCAACCCCTTCAACTTTTTATGCACAAACCATAGTAGCTTTTGGGGTTAATTAAATCTGTTTTAACACCCTACCTATGTAAAATATTTGAAAATTATCCAACGGAGCAAAATTATGCGAGAGAATTTTAACAAAAATATAAAACAAGTAGGCACAACATTTTCAGGAAAGTATCTTTAGGATAGTAATTACGTTACACCGTGCAAAAGGCTATTTGGTTCGTTGTGTTAAAAATTATTCTTATTATAACGTATATTTCAAAAGAATTTTATTTTATTAGCAAAATAAACTGGTTATTACATCAAGAATTATTTTGTTATTTAATTATTTAGTCCATGTATTACTAATTATCGGATCCTTATTTTATATTTTATCTCGCATAAAATAATAGATAAATCTCGCATAATTTATACTGATATTTGTAATACAAAAATAAGAATTAAAATCAAACAATAATGTTCATATGCATCTGACTCATCTTGAACAAGTTTTGTAATTAGGCATATTAGTAGCTATAATTGTTTAACTACATCAAAACATGTGGCGTTTTCTGAGACCTACTGATGAAAATGTCATATTTGAAACTAAACAATTATCTGCCTAATGCCACGGATTAATGAATACTTCCTCGTTCTTTTTGTTTACATATATGCAAATATGTTGTTACCAGAATCTGCGTTTTAAAACGTAATGCTGTCGTCTAGCCAGTAGCCCCATGAATGTTTTTTTTTTTTTTTTTTTTTTTTTTTGTTGGGAAAATGACATTGTCTAGCCGCTCTCAAAATAATAGTTGAAAAAAATATATTTTTTGTATATATATATACATTTTGTGTGTTATATACAAAAAATAAATAAATTTTATACACTTTTCAGCTAATGAATATAAATAATTTCTAGCGCAAGCTAAAAGTAAAAAAAAACTCATGTTTTTATGCCAGGCTTTCCACGTTCACGGCCTTAGAAAATGCAGTCACATTCTTTCACTCTTGTGTTCTTTTGAAATTTGATCAACTGAAAGAGCCATAAGTATTCAGAAATAGCCTTTCTACTTTCACAAGATAGATGTAAAGTCTGCATATACATTATTCTTCCTAAATCCCACACTGTTAGAATATACCGGGTATATTGTTGTTGAAAGAACCATAAGTGTCCAAACAAATCTAGAAAATACTTCCGGAGCATGGAAACATGAAACAATAGGTGAACTTCCGATAAGCTGGGTGGCAATGCAAGTCTCAGAAAAAAAAGATCACTTTTCTATGCATATCGTCTCAGAAGGTCACTGAATTAGATTTCTCAAACTTTCGATGATCAAATACCTACTTTACCCTCTAAATTATCAACATTTATCTTCTTCTTTTTTTTTTTATAACTTTTTAATGTTATAATATTTTTCTCTTTTAGTCAGTATTATGAACTTACCTATATACGATAAATCATATTTAAAGTAAAAGAGTAAAAAATATTTTTCTAGGATATATAATATTAAAATAATAAAATAATTGAGCACAGTCTTATTTCTTTACTCTCTCTCACACAATCATTTCTCTTCGAGCTTGCTTCACTCATCAATGGTAGACGTAAGGTAAATTAAAATTTAACACATACAAGAATTCACGAAGACGACTTGAAAAATCTAAAAAGTCTAACAAAATTAGTAACATATAATTTAGAGATTTTTTACAAAATTAACTAATAATATACATATAAATTATACATGAATTATATGACACAAATTATTTTTAGTTTAAATGGTTGGACGAGCAGCTATTTAGGTTAATTCTTCTATAAATTAT